AAAACAACTTTTTTTTTTTGCTCGTTTTTTGCACTTGGTGCACCTTACAAAAAAGTGTCATAAAAAATTGAAGAAGCAAAGAAACTTGATGTGGGTGTGGGTGTTGTTCTTCTTTTGAACCACAACCCCACACACCCACATCCACACCCTCCAATTAAAATGAATTAAAATTCATTTAAGAGTAAAATATTTATTTAGAATTAGAAATAAAATTTATTATAATAATTTCATATGTGTTATTTATTTTATTTAAATGCAGCATTAATGAAGAAAATCTAATCGAAGAATCTTTTAAAATTAAAATTAAAATAAAATTAATTTACTTTAAAATAAAATGATGAAGTATTGCAAGAAATGTATGCCAATGTATAATAAGTCGTAAAATAAAACACATAATAAAAATCAATGATAATATACCTTTCACTTCGCAAGATTTGTCGTCCAAGTGCCTATAGGTGTTGCAAAAAATTCTAATAAAGTAATTTTTTTCATTTATCAATAGAACTTGTGCACATAAGATAAAAATATGAAGTTATTATAATTTATACGTAGCAGTTATTTATAACTAATAGAATCTTATTTTATTTACACGTGTCCTTTTGATAAAAGGAGAAAAATAACTTCATTAGAATTTTAGCGACATCCATAAATTGTGTATTTTATTTTATGACTTTTAGTATGTATTGAATATATTGTATTAGATATAACTAGATGAGAGACATTAGCTACAAGGGCTTCATCATTTTATTTTATTTTACATTTAAAAAATTGTTAAATTTTAAAAGAGTTCATTATTTTGCAAAATTAAATTGAAACTTTATTTGATGTAGCTATACCTTTCTTATTTTTATTAAAATTAATTCAATCTATTGGAGTTATTTAATGAAAGTAAAAATAAATACACTGAATTATTATCAGTACTTAAAATTATTTATTAAATAAAATTAATTTAATCTGTTTATTTTATAGAATATTAAAATGAAATAAAAAACTGTTATTTTCAAGAGAATTCTTTATTTGTTTTAAATTAAAATAAAAAAAGAATATAGTGTAATGTAGTTGTAAACTAAAATTGCTATTAAGAGTCCTATTTTTTGTATTTAATATAATGATGAACTATCAGAAAGTGGCATTTAGATTACCATCAACAAGAACTAATTTTTTTTCCCAAAAACGTTTTGTGTTTTCATTATGTTATTTCATATAAAACGAATCAAATATTTTGTATGCTTTTTTTCTTAAATAAATTTACTCATGTACTGAAAGAAAGATTATTGCAAAAAGATAGTCAATTTTTTTTGCTCTGAAAAAAGGATCAGATTGTTTCATATTCTATGTTATCAAACACAACAATATGATTGGCTTGCAGAAATCAATCAATAAGATAATTACTAAAATGCATTAACTCACATCACGGTATGCGTACGTAATGCTGGAGGTACGCGTTCGGCACGCGTATCAAGTGTGCCTTGCCGTTCGACATAGGCTTCTTTCCTTCAATCATGCAAGTCGTTTTTTTCTTTCATTACAGTTAAAATATTCGGTGCAGTGACGCAGCCAGGGGGGGGATTATGTGGATCGATCCCCCCCCGAAAGACCGAAATGCCTGGAGGGGGGTACAGGCTAATTCGTTTTTGCTAGTCAAAAAATGTCTTTTTTCTATTGCGGTCCCCCCCCAAAAAAAATTTCTGGCTGCGTCACTGATTCGGTGTGCACCTCTCATTCTCAATGAATAAAAAATCGTTACTCTTTTTACGCATGTAATAAATACAAGGCTAACTTGGTATATAAATAATGTTTCTCGTCTATTATGATTATTTATATTTACCTTTTGATTAATCATGGCAAGCATAAGTCCTGATGTTGGATATCTTCGACAACAATACAATACTGGCATGATTAATAGCAATCGACTTATAATTCAATATCACAAACCATTTCATGACGGTACTGTATTAACACAAGGTGAAACTCAATTTCAGCCTATGGTTCATATTAATTTTCAAGTTGATCCACAGCAACCTTATTTTACATTAGTAAATTTTCTTATTTGTTTTCTCTATTTTTATATTATGTATTATTTTTATACCTAGATCATGGTTGATCCAGATGCTCCTCAACGAGGTAATGAACGTGCTGGTCCATGGTTACATTGGATTCATACTGGTTTTGTGGGAAATGATTTAAGCAAGGGTAGAACTCTTGGTATATTATTTTCATATTTAGAGAAAATTATAATCTATCGAATTTTTTCATTTATTTCATAGCTGACTATCAAGGTCCAGCACCACCACCTGGTACAGGTCCACATCAATATATTTTTTTATTATATAAATCGGCCATACCTCCTCCTCAATATGGTGGATCAATTTCTGCTAGTGATTCAGGACAGCGAAAACAATTTCATTTGAGAAAAGTTGAACATGACCTTCAATTACGATTAATTGCTGCAACATCATATACTGTTATCGGTTAATTTAACACACAAAAACATATATCTTATCTCAAAGCTTTATTGTTTAACATCAATTTTATTTGATTTTTAAAAAGAGATATTTATACAAGCGTAGAGTTACTATATTATCATGATTTCAAAGGTTCATAGCGTTTTTTTTTCTTCTTAGCATGAACGAAATAAAATGAATCACCTAAGATCAATACGTGCGGTTGAATAATATGCAGAGGTGTAGCAAAAAATAAAAATAAATATGTGTATCCAGCGTATCTATATGAAGGAAGTAAATAGAAAACATATGCGTTTTCGATCATTTCTGTTTTGTGCACTATAAAGATGAGCACCAATGTGAGTTCAGATGTTGCCTATGTACGTAAAAATTTTGGATGAAGTTCGACATGATCATCAAAAGCGAAAACAAAACTTTATTGTAAAATATTATGGTTGTATCTGACGTGCGGTTTAGTTATTTGTTTTTTCTTTTACTTTTACTTGTATGACTTCTCTTGGGAGATTTTTAACCACATCGACTAGCAGTAGCTTTCAAAAATAAGTATTTGATGATTGCAACCAAAGTCTAGAAATCTGACATCGATATTCACTTAGAAGATTTCGGAAATATTTTTCTCGTAATTTCACATGATAACTGAAAGTACATAATTATGATTGCATGTGACCTTCGTTTTATACATTCATTTTTTTCAACTCTATTACTTTTCTTGGACAATTTTTTGACATCATCGACTATGAGTAGTTTTTAAAAATAATTATTCGATCTTCTCATCACTGGAATTCTGATATCGATTTTTATTTACAAGACTTTGAAAAAATCCTTTCTCGTACTTTCGCATTATGAAAATAACTATGTATTATGATTGTAGATGACCTTTCTTTTAGATATTCGTTTTTTTTCTCATTCTATGACTTCTTTATTTGGAAAAAAATTCTGAGACTATCGACTCTGACATTTAGTGTAATTTATAAGTTTTAAGAAGTATGTTTCTCAGAATTTCACATAATGAATAAAATTACAGAATATGATTGTATCTAACCTTGATTGCAAACATATTTTTTACATATAGGACTTCTGTCGAGAAATTTTTGATCCGATCGACTGACTACAGTTTTCGGAAATAGGTATTTGATGTCAGGCAGAAAGAAATGGGAAGCTGACAGCGATACTATTTACAAGATTTTAGTAATTTCTTCCACTCGTTGCACATTATAAATAAAAGTACATGAAATGATCGTACCTGACTTGTGTTTTAGACATTTGTTTTCTACTTTTCTTACATGTTCTGACAAGAGTTTCGATTCGATCGAGTCATAGTAATCTTCAGAAATACGTAGTGTTGTCTTTACCCGAATTCCGCAGTTCTGATGTCGATTGTCATTCAGCGGTTTTCTATGGTAGTTCATTTGCGGTGAGTTTAATAGTTAATACAAATACATTCTAACATAGCGGTCATTTTCAGAAAACGATATTTGATTATTGAACCCGTTTTCCAGAATTCTGGTGTTAATTACTGATTTAGCAGTTTCAATATCTTTGTTTGCTTGATCCCGCGTCATAAACATGAGTACAGCTTTACACCGTACGTGACTTGCTTTTGAGATATTTTTTTTTATTGTATTACCTCGCTTTCAGAACTTTCTACTACCATGGATATACGGGGTAGGTTTGATAAATATGCATTTGAATATTCGACCGAAACTCTAGAGCTGTGATGTTTACTCACATTTCCTAGATTCAGGAAAAGATGTGAGTATAATTAACAAGAAGATGAACGTCAACACTTATTATCAGATTGTACTTGATAGAATTCCTCACTTTGATTGTTTCTCTAGTGTTACATTGAGAAAAGCTGAACCAGTACTATACTTCAAAAACGGATAGTAACAAAATTAAATTGAAAAGGAAATATAAATTTTGATGATTACGCATAATCACGTGTAACTATATCATTTCTCGTCTGTTCAATAACCAAATGGGATGCCAGAAATGCCTCACAGTGCTGTCTTATAAAGTCACTCAAAAATAAAAATACCGTAGTCAGAGACCATATAGTGATAATTCATTCTATGAATAAACATGAATGATCGTATTGATAAAGAACCTTTATTGTCTTTTGCTTAAAGCATTTCTCAGTAGGTAAAACCGCACTCGACGAGTGATATTGGAAGAACAACAGTAGGAGAGAGAGAAAGAAAAAGAAGTATTTGCCAAGTGATACAAAATATAAGTGCATTTTTTTGGTACAGTGTGTCATTCTTCGTTTAACGATGTGTAGTTTGCATAAATACGACTTCAGCTGAGTCGATGATCAAAATAGCAGATATGACCCCTTCCTTGTGATGCATCAAAGCTAAACGCGATAAGTTATTCCTAAATTCAAATGATATAATAAAATTATGATGATCACAATAGCATTGACGCATGGTATTGAGTCTTTGAAATCGATGAAATGAAACTATACACATAAGAGAATAAGGTATTGAGAGAGAAAAATTACAAGGCTCGAGAATCATACACACAAAATCTATTGGCAGGCGACAACTATAGTAGGATGTCAGTTTCGATTGGATTAACGAAGTGTAAAAATTCAACTACTCGGTTCACTTGAGTGTACGCATTTCCCCTCATTGTCATCATTATTACTACTGCTTCTACTTCGCAGGAAACATTCTTCAGGTAATATTTCTTTGATTCCTGTTCTTAGCACATTAATATCTTTTATTCTTTGACTTACTTGTACCGGTCGAGATTTATGCGTAGGATTTTTTTTGCTGCCGAATTTATTTACCACGCTCAATGAAATATTTAAAAATATCAAGTGTCATACGTTCCAAGAAGTCTGCATTGAAGTTGAATCTTAGTATATAGTCGTCGTATTCAATCGTCCAGCTAACATGCCTGTCGATGTCATGACAGAAAAGATACATGGACAAGTACGACGGTTTAGTAATTAGATTGGTGAAAAAATGCTGATATTGTTCAATGAGTTTTTGGTATAATAGGTCTTCCGAATTGTCTAGAAGTAATGAAGCAGATGTGCCTGTCTTAATTTTTCTCAAAAGCTTCGAGACAATTCCTCTCTCTAGTAAAAGCTTGCAGAAGAAAGCGTACACCTTCGATGGATGTGGGTGAGTGTGAGTTGTGTGGGTGCAGGTGTTAATCTGATAAAGAGAGCATATACTACTCCCACACCAACACCCTTAACCACAACCCTTTTAGCGTTTTTCTAGTTTCACTAATGCCTACATATTTTCAAAATATCCCGTGAAAAGCAGATCTTCACCTTGAGGAGTTTTCTCGTAAAAATTGCAAAGAAAACTAATACATGAATAAAAACTACATTAGAAACAAGAGTTTCTAATAATTTTTCTTCTTTGGAAGTTGATAGATGGAGACAAATGAATTCAACTGTATCTTAAAAATTAATAGATGGCGTTCGAAACTATTTTCGAAATGAATTGAGAGTTATACTTTTATCAAGATAGACACAGTCGATTCAGTCACACTGTATACATTGATATTGTGGCATACAAGCTGAGGTTAACATTTCCTTTTTACGAATTCCAGACTCTTTCGAAAGAGCTGAAGGTCAGGATGATTGGGTGGTAGCGAAAGTTGTGCCATCTTCAGTGCATCTTCGAAGTATAAAAGTGATTTCGAGTACTCGCCCATATTACCATACACCACACCAATGTTGTTGTAGGACGTAGCTATATCAGCATGGTTTGGAGAAAGAACTTTTTTTGCGAATTTCTAAAGCTTTTTCGTAACATAAAAGCGCTTTCGAATGCTCACCCATTGTATCATACACTAGACCGATGTTATTATGTGAAATAGCTAAATCAGGATGGGTTGAAGATAGACTATTTTGACGAAGTTTCAAGGCTTTTTCATGAACCTCAAGTGCTTTTGCATATTCACCCATGTTTCGATATACTTCACCAAGATTACTATAGGATTCAGCTATATCGGGATGGATTGGAGGAAGAGTTTTTTCACGAATTTTCAAGACTTTTGTATGAAAAGTGAGTGATTGTGAGTAATTCTTCATGTTATCATACACCCCACCAATATTATTATAAGAAGTGGCTAAGTCAGGATGGTTCGAAGGAAGAGTTTTTTCGTCGATTTCGAGGCACTTTTGGCAAAATGAAAGCGCTTTCGAATGCTCGCCCATTTTCATATTCACCATTGCGAGGTTGTTATAGGATGTAGATAGTGAAGAATGATCCCGAGGAAGAGTTTCAAGACGAATTTTCATGCTTTTTTCATAAAAAGAGACCGCTGTGCCATAATCGCCTACGTTGAAATATGCTCCGCCAATACTGTTGTAAGTAGTTGCAAAATGAGAATGATTTGGCGGAAGAACCTTCTCGAAAATGTCCAAAGCGTTTTTGTAGTAAGAAATCGCATCATTATATTTACCTTGCTGGTATTTAATGCATCCCAATTGATGAAAGTAGTAGGCTTTTATTGGTTCATCTTATGTCTGATTGAGTAAGACTTTGTAGAGTTCTTCGGCTCTATCATTTTCGCCTAGTTTTATCAATAATCGACATAGTCGCTGCCATCCAGTTGTTCCCTGAGCTTCTTCTCGGAGTCGTGTTATAAGAGTACTAAGTTGTGGATCATGATCAGCAGTAAGAGTAAGTTTCACTTGCCATAGCCGATTATTACCGTCGATTTGTTCAATGTCACCAATGCGAAATACAGTATTCATGGCGAAAAGAATCTCTTGTTCAGTGTCTTCATAATAGCTGACTTTGTCGAGTAGAGCAAAGAGAGTCGATGAAACAGCAGGATCAATAGTCATAGTGTAGAGGATACCGACAAAATCAGAATTTCCCAATGCACAACGAGCAAAGTTCATGGAGACTTTTCTTTCCTTACTAGTAGATAAGAAATTATTGAACGATAGGAGACCTCCTTTTGTTTTGTAAAGATTATCAAAGTTTTGTTTGGACAATCCTTGACCACGATAAACAGTAAATGGAACTTGATTTTCGTTCGATTGTTCTTTATGAAGTTGTTCAATATGATGATGAAGATGACGAAGAAAGAAAGCCATTTTAAGTATAACATTAACTTCAAGCATTCGCAGACCACGATTTAGCATCGGATATAGGAAACATTCGTACGTGTACCACCAAATGGGAGTATGCTCATGAAACTCTTGTACGAACTCTGTCAATATTTTTTAATTCCATTGTGTTGCCTGCGTAGAGATTACGACAATAGACAGCCAATTCTTCTATCGCTTTTGCGTCATTTTCATCGTCTATTTCCATCAAAATCTCTTTGAGCAGTTGCGTATACATAAAAGATGGTTCGATTTGATCCAGATCTTGGATGTTCGCTTCATTAGTACAGACAATACTAGTTTGTATGGAGTCTTGGTCGAATCGTCGTTTAGCACGTTGCAATGAAACACATATCGGTTCAATATCAGTAAAAATACCTTTTACTTTCTGCCAACTGTTTGCCCATTTTGTATGACGCGGTTTTTTGGTACAAAAAATATAGATAGAATCAAGTTGGTGCATATCGTGAATGAGAGGTATGATTTTCTTGCTCAAGCTTTCAGAAATAATCATGAATACTTGCTCACCATCAATTCGAGCAATATGATCGATACATTTCTCCACATTTGTTAATATATCGATCTTATTTACCTCACATCGTAAGCGGCTAAGAGAATTGCAGACGTTTTCGTTTGATTCGCCGAAATCAATATCCAACCATAGCAGACGAAAATTTTGCACGAGTTCGGAATCAGGGTAACAGTTCATATCGAATGGCATAGGCAATGACAACTGTAAAAGAGGCTGATAAGTGATTGTGGTTGTCTCAATCGCTGATAGTACTGGTTGATTGCTATTTATGATGAATATTATTGGTAGTTATAGAACTGAAATAACAGAATAATAAATATTGGTTGGACGTAACGAAGAATTACTAGTTAACTATAGATTATATAACTTTTCTGTGTACATTTATTTATCAATCACACTGATGTCCCTGCTATTTTACTATTCATTGACTTATATTGTCATTGTTTCTGGGAGTTATTGGAAGAAAAAAGAAAGAAGCCATAGGAATATTATATTATCAATAGAAAAAAAAACAAACGCAAGATACGAACAAGATACTATTTTTGGTAATGCCTTCGATAAATGTATGTGTGCAGTAAAAAATAACATTAATTTTTAATAAGACGAAGTCATTTGCTCTCTCTCTCTCTATTGGATCCCATTACTGCAAGATTTTTTTAGTTTATCTTCGCTGTTTTTAACTTTGTCAAATAAAAGCAACCATCTTTTAACCTTATATGCAATCCAAACAAGTTTTCAAGCAGCAGAAAAAAGAAACTCGGACTTTATTATTGACTCAAACTGAATCAATTTTGAGTTCTTCATTCTCTACCATGTTATTGACTTACAAATTACGTTCTGAAAGCAAGTTTTAGTGAAATGAAAATAAGCTGATATCGGCACCGACATATAAGTATAAATTCATAACAAAAGAAATATCGTCATCTTTAATAGAAATTACAAAAAACATCTAAACGAATGACGATCACTAGCTATAAAAAAATAAAGAGAAATCGTATGGATCGGCCCTCGTGGGTAGAGATCCAAGATTTACTTCATACTAAAGACTATTTTAAGTTTTACCATTTTCGTGGTGATTTCATAGTAAAGACAGAGAACAATGGAACACATTTTTCGATAAGATTCTTTCACATGATAGCTATTTTCTCAGGTACTAGGAAGTATTGTTTGCTAAGAAAAAAGAAGAAAAAAAATTAAACAACATTAAACAGAAAAAAAAGAATTCAAAGCTGATTCTTGTCTTATTAAGAAAATGAGACGCACAAGAAAAAAAGAAAATGCCAGTAAACTGAAGAATAAGAAAAAAACTGCTTTTTATTATTGACATAGACCAAATATGTCGAAATTCCTCTGTTGACATTTAACTAACGGTTTTTCTTTTTTCTTTCTTACTGCTAATGACTTTTGTTTTTCTCCTACGTTAGTGACGACAAGCAAGCATGAGACGTCGATGCAGATCGAGGTAGCAGTGTGCATGCATGGAAAGGTATCCACTTCTGTTCACCCAAATCCACACATACATCATTTGACCAAGAAACGTAGCAATAACAGAAAAATGAATAATTCTGTTGGAATACGTATAACTTATTCTAAGGAAATAAATACATTTTCGAACCCATGCCCATATATCTTTATTATATGATTGTGTTTTATATGAAAGATAATGGATATTACAATATAATATACTGAATTATCTACCGCCAATTATTTGAAAGGACATGCATTGGTCGCCACTTCATTGGAACTTAACTTGAGCGCTGAATGAATCCTTGCTATTTCCAAATTTTAAATCTGTTAAAATTTAAAGAATCGAAAGTGATACAAATTCTTTTAAAAGAAAATATCGAAATTCAGAAATTCATTTCAAATCAACTATGAAGAAATTGTACAAGAACATATAGGATCACATAGATAGTTCTTCTAAAAAGTGTACTTAAAATTGACAAAAATTCATGAGTTCATATTCGTATACTGTAGATTTTCACCCTAGGAAATTCCCATACATTTTCTCGTTATAGTTTTTTTTGTAATTTCTCCATTTCATACTGTACTTAAGTCCTGAATTGCATTGCAGTTTTCGCTAATGTACAGTATTGTAAGACTTCACGTGTTTCTACTTGTTGTCGATATTTGTGAACGATTTCTTCAACGAGTCGATCGATTAGATCATCAATATTACTAAAGCTTGGTTTTCAATTGCCTACATCAATGTCCCCTTCAATCACACAGATTAATTAATATTCTAAACTTAATGTTTTTCCTAATACTTGAGATAATAATCTCCAAAAATAATGTAGCATTCCTTCCACCAGTCGGGTTCATAACTGTCGAAAGATCAACAAGACCATATCGAATATTGTCAACAGAAACTACAAAGCAACAATATTCATCGAGCAAGTACTGAAAGCTTACAATTATGAGTTACAGATACAAAGTAATCGGGAGAAGGGCATAGTTCTGAGCCAAAACTATGGTATCTGCATGACGTGAACTCTTTCAATTTAGGTGGATGTGGGTATGATGATTGGTATTTTGTTCGAAGAAATTGACACGCACATCCACACTCTGCTGTGCATTCATATGTGGGTCATTTACATCTATGCTCTCAAATAAGTTTGATTATCTTCTTCTTGATGATTGTTAACATTTGAATCCCTTTCCTATGTATGTATTATCTCTAGCTCGATTCTAATACAGTGAAAAATATACCTTTCTCAAATAGTGATAATAATCTTCTTAAAAAATGCGATTGATATATGTACTTTACCAAAAAAATGTCACAAACCAATGCATGTGCTATCTAAAATCGTCTATGTACCATCGAATAATTAAAACAACATGTTGAACTAGAGAATTGAGTCTGTTATTTTAATTATCATCATAAAAGATGTTTTACTTATAAACTTCAATGGCATAAAAGATTACACTATGAAAAATTTTTAATGGTAATCAATCCAAATTATAAATCTTTAGTCGACGATGAATCGTTGAAGATTCTAAAAAAGCTGTTCGGATAAATCAAAAAAAAATAAACTAATGCTTATGATCGAATGATTTGTATGAAGTGTTCTTACAAATTAACTCCAGCAAGCTCAGATGAAGAAGATAAGAACTAATGAGAAATTCGAAGCTAATGATTTCTAATGCATGTTTCGTTCTGTTTTGATGTATTAATATCGATTTTATACTATATAGTATAAAATGCTTTAGAATTACGCAACCATCATGCATCACGTATGAGTCACTGAAAAGAACGATAAAGAAAAGAATCGAAAGTACGAGATAAAAAAATCAAATAAATACCTTTACTTTGTAGTCATGTGCGATAACTTCTACATGACACACGGTACTTATGAAATTTGCACGCATATTACTTCAACATAAAATAACATCAATAGTGTGAAATAGAACACAATATGATTATGGAATCGTTACCTAATGAGCTGTTATTGTTTGTCTTCAAATATTTCACCTGTCGTCATCTACTTCACGCTTTCATTGGTCTAAATTCTCGTATTAACATTCTTGTCCTTGCCCATATTCAACAACATTCTCTTGATTTTCAATCTGTGTTTAAAAATGATTTCGATGTTGTCTGTCAACGATACCTCCCATTGATTGTCGATCGAATTATTACATTTTGTCTTTCGGACGATAACGAGACTCCACAACAAATTCATCTGTTTCGTAACTATGGTTTTAATCTTCGTCAATTTTCTAATTTACGAACACTTTCACTGTCTAATGTCTCGTCTGAAGATACAATCATTGAAATGATGCTGGAATGTCATCATATTCCTAATCTCACGCATTTGACACTTACTGATTTTACCTTTCGATCTAATAAGACAAGATTTCAGCGTTTTGTCAATTGTATTTGGAATCTACCTAAACTCTTCTATTGCAAATTAAGCACTAGTAGTAGCTTTCCTATTGCACCAACAGTGATCTCATTATCGATCGAACAACTGAAAATCTCAGGTGTTGAACCTTGTGTCAATCCGATGGATTATTTATTTCATTACACACCTCGTCTTCGAAAACTTTCTTCATCTATTAGTCTTAGACCAGGCTATATAGTCTCATCATATAATGTTCCATCGATAACTGAATTGAATCTATATTTTTATGGGCTCCGTGCGCAGTATGTGATAGGTGATTTTTTGCGAATGATGTCAAATTTATGTCAATTAAGAGTTCGGACGCGTTACATTGATATGAATGGATACACATGGGAACAAATCATTCGTGATCATCTGCCAAAACTGAACGTGTTTCAACTGAAAATGGAGTTTAATATTCGTGACGTAGACCACAAAGAAGAAGAAATCGATCTACGGCTCGAGTCGTTTCGAAGTCAATTTTGGCTTGAGGAAAAACATTGGTTTGTTCGTTGTGATTGGATGCCTGATAAACAATACACCACTTTTATTCTTTACACTCTACCCTATACGTCTTCCTCATATTATTTCACCGTTCCCATTCTGTCTAAGTCAACTTGTCC